TACAAAACGGCCATTTTGGAGACCCCAACTTCCGAATGGAATGGTTGCTTCGATTATTGGTTCCATCGTATGGAAAAATGTGTCAAATTTCGCGGAGAATACTTCGAAAAGCCATAAATACATTATTAAATAGTAATGTTGTTTCCCTTCGTTAATTCCCGAAATTTTCAGTGCCGCCTATGTATTGTCTCTTACTGTTCGTATTTGAAGTATGAGATAGCTCTTACTTCAACAGGAATAGATTTTAAACTAGTATAGCTAATGAGAGAAAATGCGGTTGTGTTTATTTAATAAAAAGGCATTTCTCATTTTTTTCTCTGGGTAATAATTATAATGAGTCTGCTGTTTGTACCTTGTTCCTATTACTTTTTCCGTAAACAAATTAATATAAGAACGGACCTTATTAATTACGTAGATGACAAATATTTTCACGCTTTCTATCATTTATCTTACAAATTATGTATTCTAAATATAACTTTAAAATTTAATTTTGTGATAGCGCTCAAAATTCTCAGTTAGGTATTAGCTTGCCTGTGTTTTTGTTAAAAAAAATTTTTTTTTTGCCCTTGTAGGCAGACGAGCACACGGCCCTCCTGATGGTGAGTGGTTACCGTCGCCCATGGACTTCAGCAATGCCAGGGGCAGAGCCAAGCCGCTGCCTACCGATAAAATTTAAATAAAAGCAATACATACCCACGTCTTAAATGATTCGGGATCAAATTACAATATTTAATTTTGGTAAGCTTTGGAACAGGAAACAGAGAGATAAGAAATGTTAATTATATTATGTTTTTTACCGCGTTCATACGTTCCGATTTCGACCTCATGTCTCAAGGGGCTCATCATGGGGGCACATCAAGGTAGCATTCATATTTTGATATATATTATGTATTTGGTAACTACTTAAGACCATCATCATTGAATTTCAACTACCCATGAACAAATTTTTCTTCAACCATGTTTTTGCTTAAAGACGCTACTTATAACTACAATGGGTTTACTCAGACAACTACATACAGACAGAAAAAAAGGTAACTTATTCATTGAAATGCGCAGTAAACGAATCAAAACAAAGGACTATAATTAAACTAGACGCTCGACAATAGCTCATCGGAGCGATTTCTATTTAGCCTTTGAGAAGGCTTATATGCATGTAATTGTTTTTATTCTCATTGCCGAGAGAAAGTAATTCAATTTGCCGTTCAATACGATTCAATTTTTATTTGTTCACGTTTGCAATAATAAAAGAGGTTTACGAATAACCATCACTAGGGCCAGCATTTGTTAGTTTGTTTGTTTACTCATGGTAGGGTACTGTGAGCTAGCTACCTATTAGAGTATTGTGATCTGACCATGGCTAGACACATACAGGGGGCCTAAGAAGTTATGTGCAATCTGCTCTGCACGCGTTTTACGCAAGAGCATCCGGGTGATGGAAGGCCGGCTATCCTCGACCCACGCTAATTCTAACCCAGCGCGATGTTCCGTAGGATAGCTCATTCTAACCGGTGCCATATAGGCGGGCTTCGGATAGCCTGCTGACCGAGAGGGCTGGTGGTTGTGGCGCCCACGACCGCCGCTCCGGCGTCCCGAGGGGGAAGGTGATAGGAGAGATGTGCTCCGCACTAAACGCTTCGCTTTCCCCCTTTGCCTTTTCATGAGTTCTGTCTTATGCGAGGTTCGGACGTTGGTTGTTGAGCGACAGGAGGTTTTAGTTGGTTCGACTCCGACATACCCAGCCCGCCATTCCCAGTGCAGGGCGGAAGTCCGGCGATTTCATCCTGACAAAAAAAAGGGTATTGTGAGCTTCCGTGGCTAGACACCAACATCGTCTTATAACCAGAAATATATTGTAAATAATATGTAATAAGAATGTTAATTGATCAAAATTTAAAATGTAATTAAATATAACATGTCAAGACTAATTAATCTAATAATTGTACCTACTTAATTAATATGTACATACGTATAATTAATACTAATAAATGCTTAATAATTACGTTTTAATCTTTCCGTTTTAATTATATCCGAAATTTCGAAACATTTTCGGTTTGCGTGATCTCAGGTGGCTGAATTTAAATATTAGTCATGGCCATTTGAACACTGTGTCAACTGCATTTATTTAAATTCTTTGTTGACGTTTAAGTAAGCTTATTTGAAAGCAAAAAGAGCTATCAGTGTTTACAGGTATTTCTAGTCAAGTCAGATTATTTATTTGGAACTTAATCTTCACGATCAGAAGATACCAGGGGTTAGATAAGCGCTTACGATCTTTTCTATTATTGTTAGGGCATTTATATCTTTTAATGACCTCGTCTCTACTTTCAGCACTGTTTGCTATTTAATACACAACTTAAGGGTCGTTTGTCGTAATATGTATTATACGGAAACTAAGTTGATGTTATGGGAAATATAATTTCTGAACCAACATTATAATGATGACTATAGTATCACTAAAATGAAACTTTGACACGACAGTATACTAAAAACAACGTTTCGTGATAATCTTCATTAAATTTATGAGCGGGAAATTAAATTGTAACGAAAAAGATGTTAGTTGATCCGAATTTCGATATAAAAATGTTTGAAAATTTTATAAACAAAATGGGTGACGCTTCCGTTCCTTAGGGAAATTATTGAGCTCAATTTTAATAATTATTTTGATCGCGAGCAAGGGAAAAGTCAACAGAAAACTTCATAATAGCTTCATAATGGTGTAATTAGTATTAAATAACGTTTCCTAATGGAATCACTTGGTTAACCTATTTTAGAATTTGTAAGTCAACTGAGATGTCTGTTTGGGATATCATAAAGCATTTTACGAACTAACTTCATTTATTTCTTACTAGCTGACCCGGCAGATTTCGTAGTGCCTCAATCGATAAATAAAAGACCTAAACTTTTGTATAACTATATAAAATTCAAGACCAAAATTAGCCAAATCGCTCCAGCCGTTCTTGAGTTTTAGCGAGACTAACGAACAGCAATTCATTTTTATATATATAGATAAATAAATTAGTATGCGAGTTCCGACGCGCATACACTCTGTCATTGTTAGGGGACCATCTCTGCTTACCGTTATACTTAAAACTGGATAAAAGAGAAACATGTTATGGCCTAAGGAGGGCTATTAGAACGAGGGAGCAATGACTGGAAATACACACACTGTTTCAAATAGTATTGAATATAATCTAAAATTGAAACGAATTATTGCTTCATGACAGAAAAAAATTTGTAACATCATCTTGGTTGTGTACCTATTACTAGAATTAAATTCCATCAGTAAGTATCTAAAGTCAGCGTCTGAACGCCATGTCGAGAAAACGGTGCGACATTATAAATATCAGGATCCTAAGCTTCTGAATCACAATAGTTAAAAATACGTATCACCGTTTAATAAATTGTAATATTTCATCACAACCATCATACGATTTACCCTCAATAATTTGTAATTATAATTTCAATTTATATTAATCTAGATAAGTTATTAAGTTTTTGTATATAGTTATTGTCTTTGTTGCATGTGTGTGCTTTAGTATAATATACGTTGGTTTGACTGCACTTCATTTTTATTATTTTATGGCGCCCTGAGAATTTTTTTTAAGTCACTCATACTCCACTGTGGCTGCCGCCGGTTGGTGTAACGATAACCGTTACAGTAGCTCTTGCTAGGGTCAGTGTTAGCAACTCTCCGGTTTGAGCCCCGTGAGCTCACCTAGAAACGTTAGGGTGCAGTTGAAATAGACTCTCAAGACTATCAGCATAGGTAGGAAAAAAAAAAAAAGTTACAGTAGTTATAAAAAATAAAAATGATTTTTTTTCTTTCTAAATATTTGTATTTCATATTTATTATTCTTTTCATAATACACGATACATTCATTTTAAAATATACAAAAATGACAAAATCGTTCGACTTAATACTATTATTACTTGATATAAGCGTATTTAATTTATAACTGCATTACAGTTAGCTTAATATATAAAACATTAAGAACAATAAAAACTTAAACATTTGACATAGATAACAGAAGATTTTGTAATCGGCGATGACAAATTTCAAATTGAACAAGACTTGTACACATATTGATTATTATTTTATTTTTTATTGCTCAGATGGGTGGATGAGCTCACAGCCCACCTGGTGTTAAGTGGTTACTAGGGCCCATAGACATCCACAACGTAAATGCGCCACCCACCTTGAGATATAAGTTCTAAGGTCTAAGTATAGTTACAACGGCTGCCCCACCCTTCAAACCGAAACGCATTACTGCTTCACGGCAGAAATAGGCAGGGTGGTGGTTCCTATCCGCGCGGACCCACAAGAGGTCCTACCACCAGGAAATTTTCGTATTCATTCACTCACACACACACACACACACATCATAAACTCCTTTGACACAAAATAACAATATTGCCATTTATTGCACAACCAATAATATTGCTAGTGTAGAATAGTAGTGAGGAAAGAGACAAGTATATATAAACAAGATCATAAAGATTTCTGCTAGGTCTTTTTGTTTACGGATTTAAAATCTATACAGATAAAAATGAAATTCTCACTCATGACAAGACCTCTGAAACTATCCGTGCGATAGATTTTAAATTTTGGCATAAATCCTTCTTATGCTATATCATGCGATCACTTAGAACGAAATTTGGCCAAAAATCATTTTAATTTAATAACAACATTTTTTAATTAAATCAATTAAAAGTTCACATTTTTAACACATCAACATGATAACCATGGCCAAAAATGGCTGTAAAACAATTTATTTATCTTAAAACAACCGGATTACATTATTTAAATACACTATACAGATAATGAGACATTTAAATAAACTGATAAATCCTACTATTTTTTTTTTTTTTTTTTTTTTTTTTTATTGCTTTGGTGGATGGGGGAGCTTACGGTCCATCTGGTGTTAAGTGGTTACCACAGCCCATAGACATGAAAAGTCACCACCCATTTGCAGACCAGAGTTCTATGCCTCAGTTTTTACAGTACACCAACTGCAGCACCCTGACGGCAAAAAGTGAGCAGGGTGGACTCATGGACTCACAGGATGTCCTAACATTAGTAATTATGTTAATTATAATTTTTACAGGTTAAATTTTTATTACACGATCTTATTTCTTCAGCATGAAAGTTCTTTATCAATATTTGTCGGATACGTAATTCATTTAACATACTAGTAACTGGCTATGGGATTCCATCACTAACACAACCGCACCGGTCGATACAAATGCAATAGGCAACTTATAATTTCACAACTCGTACATTAGTTTGGTAGCTTGTTATAATGTTTGGAATTGTTTTTCCAAGATTCCTTCTACCTTTATGCAAAATCGACACAGTTCAAGTCACTCAGGATTAGCACTACCACCTCAATTGTATGAGATGTGTCAAGGCAAAAAGTCCCTTATTTCATTATTGCTATTTGACTTATAATGAGCTTCATTGAAAATACACTTTAAACTATATTATAGTCCTTATTGCTATATGAGGTTAAGCTGAAAGTTCAATTCATAATTCAATTCAATCGTCAAGTACTGCTAGTGCCATCTCTTTGGATATGTTATCTGACATTACATTTTGGTTCTCTGTTTCTCTCTCATCACCGGACCACCAGCTCTCATCGTCATCTTGTATGAAACACAAGAACAAATCATCTTCATATGTCGGAAAATAATATTCAGGTTGATCCCATCTATCTCGACTCAAGGTCATATGTTTTTTCTCTTTGATGTGCTTTTCTAAATTTTTCGAGTCATCGAACTTTGTATCGCAAGCTAGACATTGCTTTAAATGTATTTGACGTCTAATAAAGTTAACGATTTTCACCTTTTGATAAAAATCTAATCCGTTTGTCGCATCCATGAATGAGAATTCGTGTTTAGTGTCCATGTGGGTTAAAATATACTCGTACTCCGTTTCGGTGTGGTCACATAGAAGGCAGGTTATAAGTGGACCATTATCTTCAGTCCATTCTGACCATTCTGGGTCGCTATCCACATTTGAATCACGTTCATATGCATTCTGATTTGTATTCCTGTTTGTTACATTTTTTTTGTCTTGATCCCCGATATAATTAACTAAAAAGTATTTATCGTATTCTTTGTTCTCAGCATTGATTCGTTTGTGACCTTTCTTTCTCATGTGCTCCTTTAAGACTGACCTATCATTGAAATGACCTTCGCAATAAATACACTGCAACTTTTCCAATTTCGAATCAAGAGTGTTGATTAAATCATCTATGAATATTAAATTATCTGGTTTTGCTATATGAAAATTATGTTTCTCATACAAATGGCTCAGATAATGCACTCTTGTCGTGTTGGAAGTGTAACGGCAAAATAAACATTCTCTAATGAAATTTTTGTCTTCACGTTCAAATTGATGTCTTTCCAATAGTTTCCGTAGTTTAGTTTGTTGTAGATTTGAACGTAATTCTTTGTCTTCTGGCAGAACGTCACTTAATAAATAATATTTTTCATCTTTAGATTTTGTCCCATCGGGTTTGTTATCTAGAAGCATTGTGGTGCAGTAAAACGGAAGGCTGTTATCTGAAAATTGAGAAATAATTATAATTATTAAAAATAAGATGAACCGCTTATTGGTAGATTCACTTAAATAGCTATGCCATTACCAAAAGTTATTTTTTTTTATATTGTGTACTTTTTAGGAGACATAATATTGGCTGGCTTTTTGATAGCTAAAGGAATAAAACAGAGGCGTTTTTTTTTATTACTTAAGTTGGTGGCTCACAGCCCACCTGGTGTTAAGTGGTTACTGGAGCCCATAGACAGCACCACATTTACATACAAGCATTACACCCCTGAATCAGCACTGTTGATTTTTAGAAGAATGCAGCCCAACAACCAATCCTTTGCCAACAGCTAGGAGATCAACTTCTCAAAGCGAACACACAAGCTCCAATGATATTATCATCAGTATATAAGTATATATGATTTGTAGCTTTTATGGATTTTTTATACAATTTTTTTCCGTAATTGAGTGAATAGTTTCACATCCCATCTGGTATCTAATGGTTACTGAGGACTCGTAGAACATCATAACGAGAATCAAACGATTATCAGCCCACCTTGCAATATATCTGAATGCTTATTACAATTGTGTAATGACTGTTTTGATTAGAGTTCAGATTGATGTCCCAAAACTATGGCATACATTCAAAGATCCTACATTAATGTTTAAGCATGAACGAATTTTGGGAATTTTCTTTGGATATGAAGTTACCAAAATTACCTTTGAACCGAAGTCGCCAATATCGCAAGTATTCGTTGAAATCAGCTATCTGATTAACATCGGCTATCACTAAGCGGTGCTCCATAAACAGATGAGTTAGGAACTGCTTCTCACGTTCGGGAAAAGTAAACTTCTCCTCGCACAGCACACAAGAGCATTCTACAGATTCGTCGTTTTGGAAAATCGTGGGTTTTAAATTATTTTGATGCAATGTCAGAGGCCCGAAGAATTTTTTTTGACAATTAGACATTGTGATGATTTATTTATTAACAGGTCACTGAAAACTATTTTTTTAAACGTATATCTTAAATTCAACAGCTACACATTGGAAATCAATTTAAATGCCTTTTTTATTTTAATAAATCAATTCTTTTGATTGATCGCTATAATGTCGTACGTCAAATTACTGCTTGTTTGCTATATCCGGCAAGGAAAACATAGCCTGTAAAGCCAGTTTCTTTATACCAAATAATGAAATCATGTCTGTTGCTACCAAACTGGAATGTAGCGAAGTTAAAAGAGTTGAGATGAGAAATTTCTAGGTAATAACCGTAGGTCTTTAATAATCAGAATGACTGTAATATATATCAGGTTTTCCGATAAACCCTTAAAACAACACTTCAAACAGATATAAAATATTATAGTATCATTATGTAATTCAGATTTGTCACAAAGCAATTTGTTATAATGTCATAATTTGATATTTCATAGATAAAAGAATGGTTATTGAATATGAAAAACGTGCTCTTTTAATAACAATCCTTTAGTTTACTATAAAGATCGCTAGGAGTGGGATGTTGTAAAAAGTATAGTTTTTATTTATTTTTTTATTGATGGGTGAACGAGTTCTCGGGCAACCTGTTGTGAAATTATTACTGGATCCCAAAACTTTCAGTATACTATATATGCTACTACCTTGAGCCTTGAGACAAGTTGTGTATACCTCGATTACATCATATAGCTGCCACCTGTGGAGTTTGAGCCCTAGCATAGATGCATCGTTTGACACGAGCAAATGTTCAAGTTCAATGGACTTTTAGGAAGACTTATAGAGGCATCTTCAATTTCGCCTGTTAATACAATTTTATTACATTTTTCCACACTTGTGCACTTTCATAAATATTAAAACAGTTCATATGGTATCACTGTTACACATTTAAGCCGGCTGTTACCTAAAACCTAACCTTAATTAAAAAAAAGTAAAATAAGATTTTTTTTTATTCAAGCGACCTTTTTTAGTCATGTGGCACCGTTACATATTCGAAAACTTTTACAATACCATTAAAAAGCAACGTATGATTTTAAAAATATCCCGCATTTATTTTTCCTACCTATGCATTGAGCATTGAGAGGCTATTTCAGCTTCGCCCTAACGTTTGTAGGTGAGCTCGCGGGGCTCAACCGGAGAGATGCTAACACTGACCCTAGCAAGAGCAGTGCTTCGCAGAATCTACCACCGGATATCCCGCGCAATTTTTTGACGACCGCATGATGTTGTCATTAAATGTACAAATTGTACTTATTAATATAGTTAAATGGCACAATAAACTTTGTATGTAGGTATAAGTTAGTAAAAGTTTGGGTTAAAAAACAATAAATAAAATTGCTAGATTTCGTTAACTTTATTTTGAAAGACATAAGTATCTTAATTATGCTAATATGTAATACAGCTACAGTATTTTATTTACATGATTATTATTATTAAATAGGAACTGAAAATATTACGTTTTCACGTTCTGTATAAATGCCACAATGTCCAGTCAAACAATAATAATTCATAATATTTACTACCCAGCCTTAACAAATTAAACTTACCTACCCACTAAATAAAACATTTAACTTTTTATTTATGTGTCTAGAGCAATTAAATTAAAATGTTAAAATTAAAATAAATATTTACATTCACTTAATTTATAATTAGGTTACGCTTAAGGCTTGCCGATAGCTTCATGAATATTTCTCCTCAAATCGAATCATATTATGTACACACTACGTACCGTTTTGTATATTTTATATCTACAAATATAGCCTACAGTTGCGCATGTTAACATAAAAAATAATTTACACATACCAGTAATTAATAATTGCACTATAATTATGTACGTATATTTTAATTAATTGTCTGTTTTATTTTTTTTCATTACAAAAAACAAAGGTATCATTCCCAAAATAGTCCTAGAAAGTGTATTCGAAAGTGATATAATATGATTGTCGGCAAACCTGTGCGCGATTATTATGTCGGTATCCACAATTTTCATAACGTACTCAAAATAAATTGAATTTAACTAAAATAAATCAACAAAATGTTAAACACTATATTGAAGTGCACAATTAAAAGTTTTAGCGTACCTATATCCCCATTGCTTTATTTAATCACATTTCTATTTGAAAATTGCAATACTAAATTAATGTATCTAATACTGTATTCAGATTTTTCACAGGTAACTTGTGTTTTTTGAATTCGCATATTTATATTTGAGACATATATTCGTTAGCAGAAATAACAATAATAATTCTACATTAATCATAGCGTATACAAAGAGCGGAATAAGCGTTTTCGAAACTGCAACAACTCATACATAATTTAAGTATAACTGAAGACAAAAAACCAAAAATTCACAGTTTGTTCAGACTTGGGTGACGTGCATTCCGTTACACACAGAATAATATGAAACCCCTAAAATATAATTTATATAATCAAAAATCTTCAATCCAAATGAATAAGAATTGTTTTAACTTCCTTTTTTTATTGCTTAGATGGGTGTACGAGTTCACAGCCCACCTGGTGTTAAGTGGTTACTGGAGCCCATAGACATCCACAACGTAAATGCGCCACCCACCTTGAGATATAAGTTCTAAGGTCTCACGTATAGTTACAACGGCTGCCCCACCCTTCAAACCGAAACGCATTACTGTTTCACGGCAGAAATAGGCAGGGTGGTGGTACCCACCCGCGCGGACTCACAAAAGGTCCTACCACTAGTAAATACTATTTTATAATATGTTAAATACCAAAGTTACAGTTAAATATCTATACAATCATTGAATTAATTCATTAAAAAATACACGTTTTATTGTTTTGATTCCAGTTTTTTTCATTTTTCTCGGCACGATGCATTTGTGTCCGCATACAAAACTTTGTAGGGCACTGAGCTTCCCCGGATAGCGGCGGTAACTTGAATAGCGTAATTTTTCCCCGGGCTCAATCCGTTGATTTTTTGAATAATGACATTCGCTCTGCTCAGAGAAAACAGTCAAATAAAAGTTTCGCAATTAAATTAATTTATTATTAAGGTTGTTTCTTTGTTTTCAGTAAAACAATCTTGAAGAACACACATCCAGAAATCGTTCATGAAATCTCCAAGCACTACCTTGCAATCGACTTATCTAAATTATACTCTTCTTTATAATAGGCTATTTGTAGCCTTAAAATAATATACCTACGTACTTTTTTTAATATTAAATGACAACATTATTTTCGTTGTAATCTAAAGCGTGTCCACTGAATATGTACGGTAGGTACATAATTAAAACAAAAATGTCTAATAGCAATATCTAATTTAGTCCAATAATATCTATTGCATTGTATAGTAGTTATTCTATACAAGTACAAATATATTTTCTAAGCTTAAAAATATCATCCTCACAGCAAATTCCACTACTGAGGATCTTTGTATTGGGTTAACTCAGAATAAAAGTGATTAAGTTATTAAAACTTACGTTTTTTTCTGGGACTGATTAATGCACTGGGTCCTCGTCGAATACTTTCTCATGGACGTGCATTCTAGCACTTCTTCATTACTATCTCGAACAATGGCGCAATATCTGCGTGTATTACAACATTTCCTGAATTTACACCAATCTAGTTATATCTTTTAGTGGTCCTCTTGTGACCACCCACCACCACTCTGCCTATTTCTACCGCGGAGCAGTAATGCGTTTCGGTTTGAAGGATTCACAGCCGTTGTATTAACGAACTGATAATTCGACATTATGTGCCGAGGTGTGTGTGACAGTTGTTGATGTCTATAAGCTAACCACTTAGTATAAGCTAAACCGTGAGCTTCTTCACTAGACTAAGAAAAAAATGTCGTACAATGGTAAGAAGATATCTATAATGGGAAGAACAATAATTCATTCGATAAAAATAGCTTAGACGTTGATATCATAGCTGATTTCAATTATAGCACGGAATTCATTTTAATTTGTGAGTACAAGATTGTGTATACCTTATCACATCTGTAGCATTATGTGTGGCCGGCAGGAAGGCGATGTCGACCGATCTGCAGGACCTTCGCGGTCGCAACTCCCTCACTATAGCACCGTCTCCTACAAGCTCAGGAGTGTTGATGCCCCATCTTGTAGTTGATGCTGTTAGCTAGAAGTAGCAAACAAACTTTTGATGTAAACCACTTCTCTCCCACCGAATTAAACCGGATTCGGATGCGTCGTCTACAGCGGGATGTCAGATCTCACTTCTGCAGGATAGCCGTCGGAGCACCGTTGTATGTGAGGAATGTAGATCTTCCCGACGACCCGAAATTTAGTGGCCGATAGGTAAGTATCTTAAGGAAGCGTCAGAACGTTACTTCAACAAAGCAGCGCGACATGAAAACCCTCTTATTGTGGCTGCCGCTAATTATTTATGTATGGAATATTCTCGATAATTCTAGGGATGAGGTATCGACTATAAAAGCGTTGCAGGGATGGCACGCAGGCAGTCAGTAATCGGAACTACTCGAAGCGAAACAGCGAACGGATCACCTAAAGCGAAGCGGAACAAGCGAATTGAGAATTTTAAAGTGTTTGTTGAGTGTTTTAAGTGTTCTAAGTGTTGAAAGTTACAACGTAAGGAAAAGTATTGACTTTTCGTTATTTGCTAATGTAATTTATGACTTCAGCTTTTAAATTCTAAATTTACCTCTACTGTAATAGCGCCATCCCTCTCCTTTCTAGTGGGGATTAGTTTGATGACGTATCGCATTCTGGTCTCTTCCGAACTCGAATCGAATTGAATAGAACCTTCGTCGCTCGTTTCTTGCATCGAAGAGGTTAAGGTCGGTGCAGGAACGAAGAACTTCAAATGTGGCTCTGTAAAATAACTATCCTTTGAAGGGAGATGAAGGGATGATCATGCAATCCTATTGGATTCATCCACGCGTAGCTTAATTTCCCATAGAATTTACCGCTTCGATAATTTCAAACGAATTACGTTTATTAATTATCGTTAGTAGTTTTTTTTATTGCTCTATCAGGCAGACGACCGTACGGCCCACCTGATGGTAAGTGGTTACCGTCGCTCATAGACGTCAGCAATGCCAGGCGCAGAGCCAAGCCGCTGCCTACCGTTGAATCTATGCCTACTAATGAATAGTATGGCCTGCCTTAATATTTCTTATTATTGATTATCAATTTATTATTAAAATTGAATACACACTAACGATAAATGATAACATAAGCTGTTCGTTCATACTTTAATATGCGGAACAAATATCGTTCATAATATCATATAATGCAATTATTTTTTTATATATACGTTGATTTCTTAGACGGGTGACCGAGCTCACGGCTAACCTGAGGCTAAGTGGCCATTTGTGTGCTTAGTGCGAGTTTTTTAACGTTCTCGATAGCGTAAAGGTTAACTCAAATTTGTATATTTTTTTTTAACGGCTGCCTACGTTTACCGCCTGGGGCGCTGTTCCAACTGCATACAAATTTGAATTAACTCTTACGCTACGAGAACGTTAAAAAAGTCACACTAAGCACCCAGAGTCCATAGACATTACGTGAATGTCGCCACCCACATTGAGGTAGGTATATGTCTTAATTATGTATTACCATATTACGCAAATTTTTACTGATGAGAATCCGACAGACTCACTACACGAGAAAAACTATTTGTAATAATAGTAATAACAATAAAAAATTTACAAAAACATGTAAACAACACACTTACACAACACTAACAAACTTCCTGTTATTAAATGATTTTATTACCTATATTACGAATATATTGAAGTCGTTTTCCTTTGACCAGCACTTCTAAGTCCACTGATCCTCCACAAGTCGATGCCATCAGCCACAAACCTCCAGCAGTCCCAATAGAGGCCTTACGAAGAACAATTATAATGCTTAATGTATTTTATAATCGTGTAATTCTAATTATTGTAATTCTACTGGTGGTAGGTAGGAACTCATGTGAGTCCGCGCGGGTAGGTACCACGACCCTACCTGTTTCTACCGTTAGCAGTAATACATTTCGGTTTGAAGGGCGGGGCAGCCGTTGTAACTATATCTTAGAACTTATATCTCAAGGTGGGTGGGGAATATACGTTGTAGATGTCTATGGGCTCCAGTAACCACTTAACACCAGGTGGGGCGTGAGCTCGTCCACCCATCTATACAATAAAAAATATGTAATTAGACACAAGACTGAGCGATGGACTTCACTGTGCCACTGACCGAGATAAGTGGCTTCAGATCACATGAAAAGGTCTCAGGAGGTCGCATCAGGATCAGCACACAATCAAAGGAGGAGGATATAAACCAAAAACCAGCATGTATTTAGTGCAGTTCATTATGCACTTTATTGCCAAAATCACATGACGTTATTTTGGTTTTCGCGATACTCAGACAATAAAATTACTAAATGATTATTACATAGTTTAGCGCAATTAACACTAGATTACTCCCACAGACACAGCCCACTGAGTTTCTCGCCGGATTTTCTCAGTGGGTTGCGTTTCCGACCCGGTGGTAGATTCTGCGAAGCACTGCTCTTGCTGGGGTCAGTGTTAGCAATTCTCCGGTTTGAGCCCCGTGAGCTCACCTACACAAGCTAGGGTAAGCTGAAATAGCCTCTCAAGGCTATCAGCATAGGTAGGATTAAAAAAAAAACTAGATTACGGTTTAGTTAGGTGTTTTAACTGTCATTTCGTTGTTTCAGACGTTTTAAATACTATACAAGTTTCATTTTTTTCCCCTTAGGTACCTATGCTGATAGCTATTTCAGGTTCTCCTTGACGTGACGTGAGCTCACGGGGCTCAAGTCGGAGTATTGCTAATACTGGCCCTAGCAAGAGCAGTGCTTCGCAGAATCATCCGCCGGATCGGAAACGCGACCCATTGAGCAGATTTGGCAAGAAACTCAGTGGGCTGTGTTTATGGGTTAATTTACTCGTCGAGCCTTTCGTCGTAAGCGACGTGCTTAGAGACGTCGACTGTTTACCATTCGGTCCACAGGATCGGGTATGCAAGTTTCATGGTGACGAACGCTCGACACGTGGGAAATAACGTCCATTATTAGGCTAAACTAACCGTCCCTAAGTACGTCTACGCTATATACAATATTATAACACAATAAAAAAGAAAATCGAAAACCGAAGAGTGTAAAAATGTAATGTAAAGTAATAATAATGACACATGACAAGTCTTTTTATGTTAATTTTAAAACTTGGACTATGTTGTACAAACTGTAAATAAAAAGATGATGTCGGAGTTAAACTCGCCTATGTAGGTAGTAACTTTTTTATGTCTACAATAAAGTTTAAATAAAATAATAAAATGAATTTCCTCACCTTGAAATAGAAAGCGGTTTTGCCTTTAATATCGGCCCTGTAAGGTACATTTTCGCGCAATCTTTTGGCGGTTGATGTCCTTGGTCGTATACTGCTGATGGCCAGTAGAGACCCAGAACGTCTATCCTTGGCCACTCCAAAGACGCTCACATAGTAAGTCTACAAAATAAAATGAAAATTTGCGATATAAAACTCTGTTTAAAATAAGCCAAATTGATATTTTGTTTGTTTTCTACTGTAAGCTGTGCTTTTTATAATACGATGGGACCGCTCTTGAAACTACCTAAAGAACTACTCTATCATTTATGTAAAGTATACATGCTATCCTTTAAGTAATTTCATATTATTACGTAAACCCGCAATGAATGCGTTTAAAATTTTTGGGGTCAATAGCCGCGTACATTCCCAGTTGGTATCGGACATCACAATCTAATTGTCGCTACACCGAACATTCGTCGATAATTCGACCACGGCCCACTGAACACTAAGCGGGCCATCAGTTTGTTTACGCATCAATGAAATGAAAAGTTTTTTTTATTGCTTAGATGAGTGGACGAACCCACAGCCCACCTGGTGTGAAGTGGTTACTGGAGCCCATAGACATCTACAACGTAAATGCGCCACCCACCTTGAGATATAAGTTCTAAAGTCTCAAGTATAGTATAGTTACAACGGCTGCCCCACCCTTCAAACCGAAACGCATTACTGCTTCACGGCCGAAATAGGCAGGGTGGTGGTGGTACCCACCCGCGCGGACTCACAAGAGGTCCTACCACCAGTAAGTGGATTTTAATTAATTAACACAATCTATTCATGTATAAATAGATCGGTGAAGTGTTTTACCAGGTCAAGCCTTTAAGAATACATACGGCAGTTGGATCTAAGTTCTCAATAAGATGATGAGTTCGATCACCAACGCAAGCGATAACCGGATCTTCGTCCGAAGTTACTTTGGTACTGCGACCTGAAACAATTCAATTCGAAATGAATGTATTTCTGGTGTTAAGCCTTTTTGTGCTGTTAAGACCGAATATAATTATTGGTGTATAGTTTATCCACAAATAACAATAGTCGGCATTAAGAGTCAAAGCGAGAATAGCTTTGACTTTGTCCAAGTCATAAAGTGCTAAGGTTAACGTAAAATTGTAATAACTCTTACTTTTTTTTTTTACCTATGCTGATAGCTTTGAGAGGCTATATCAGCTTCTGCTTGACGTGTAGGTGAGCTCGCGGGGCTCAAACCGGGTGTGTTGCTAACACTGGCCCTATTAAGACCAGTGCTTTGCAGAATCTACCACCGGATCGGAAACGCGACCCACTGAGAAGATCCGGTGAGAAACTCAGTGGGATGTGTCTATGGGCTAATTCACTCGTCGAGCCCTTCGTCGCAAGCGACGGGTTCGTCGAGGACGGTGACCGGGACTCTTACTTGCCGTCAAGTTGGACGTATTCTCTCTCGACTAACCACAACGACAACAAAAAAACTGCTTCTTATAGCTAAGTTAGCGCGAAAGAATTCAGATATGCGGTAGGCAGCGGCTTGGCTCTGCCCCTGGCATTGCTGAAGTCCATGGGCGACGGTAACCACTCAGGTGGGCCGTATGCTCGTCTGCCTATAAGGGCAATAAAAAAAACAAGATATGTTATCGTGAACCACTCAATTCACTTGACTTAGCTGAGACGATTCATACACCGGTCCAAATGTGACGTCTAATTAAAAAAAAAAACTTACCAAACTTCTTTCTTCTGTAGAAACTTCTGAAATGTCCGTCGAAAATGCTAAAGGCGTCTTCGACGTCATTGTTATTGTTGATTTCAGCCGATCGACTTCTACCGGCGACGTTATCTGATTCGGAAGCGGCTCCCGAACATAATCGATTTGTTTTAACGAGTCTATTCGGGTTGACGTCGTGATGTGCAGCACATAGTGACGTGTAGTTTCTTCTGTGCGAAGCCACCACGCAGTATGAAGTGGCTTGCGGATCTATAGGGCTGCGAAACAGTTTTTCTTTTAACAAAACCCGTTAATGACAGTGAATGCATGTGCTCCGGTCACCACTGTAAGATATTAGAACGAAAGAAAAAAACCTAACAGGTTATTAGGTATATTGTATTAATCAAGTCTTGCTGGCTTTGTTGGTCGATCTTTGATTTTACTTTGATGCGATCGTTACGAAATTTCATATGATCACTTGTCTGGGAAATCTCATCGAAATCAGTTTAATCGCTTCGGAGTAGGGAATAAACATGGATATATTGGGTGTTAGGAAACCGCTTCTGAAAACGAAGGCAGACGATAGTACTAAATACACCTTTGATGATACTTATAAAAGAATCGCCGCGCCCATGCGGTCGTTGATCCGGGCATCAGCTGTTTTCGATATATATATATTTTTTTTATAACAACAAAGAGGCAAACGAGCAAGACGGGTCACCTGATGGTAAGTGATTCACCGCCGCCTTTGATCTAGTATTTTGATTGCTGGTTTTTTTTTTTTTAAGTAAAGTAATGTATTTTTTATGTGACTATCGTTTCATTTAGCTGTGCTAACAAGATAGAGCGTAAATAATGCTAATAAAACGTTTTAGAAATATGTTTTTTTTTTAAATCAAGATCGATTTTTTTTCCGTCCCATCATCAAAGGTGTCATTAGTACTATCGTCTATCTTCGTTTTCGGAAGCAATCTCCTAACACCACGTATATAATACGTTCAACGACTTTGAAACACAAATGCCGTATCTTAAAGTTATATTGAAGATATAATTAGACGATGCGTTCAGAAAAAAAAGGGTGCGTGTACTTCTGTACGCGCGTAAGAAGTTATACTTTATTTTTAATAAATTTTTTTTTTTTTTTTTTAATATTGAATAATTAATAATAAATATTTAACGTTAATAATTTAATAATATTTAGTATGAATTATATTAAATAATAATTTTGTCATTTATATTACTAAAAAATGAATGCTAATAACACTTTTTTTTACGAGTGTACATGCGCGAAAGTTCTCCTACGGCTATATTCAGACTCGCCAAGTTACGTCGGTCGTATTGTAATGAGCGATTTAGTGGGCAACTTCATTCTGTTAATTTTGTGTCACGGTGCGCGCGCATCCTAAAATTTGACTCTCATCAATTTTTCATAACTCGCCTAAAGAAGTATAACTTCAAAAAAATTGGTTGAATCGCGGAAATTACTTGATCAAAACTAACCACTGAGTGTAAGCATTTATGGCTTGAGTGTTACTTTTGACACGAATCCTCTCCTCGCCGCCAGGATATTCATATGAAGCATAATTAGATTTATCATCATACCTGAAAATCATCGTATTGGGCATCGACCTCAAAAATCACCGTTGTTAACAAGATAATATTATAGCTTCCTTTGAAACTCACCATTTTACAATTTACAATGCGGAATTTTACGTATATCAACGTGAAGACGCTTTAAGCATGTAAATACGCTCAATTATGCTTCTTGAATTGATCCTATAGGTCGTCGTAGCGTTGGAACGCTTTGAAAAATGTCATTTAATTACTTTAATGGTAGCATAACTGGAACTTTAGACGCTGCGAGATACGCATGAAAAAGTTGTTTACTAGATAGCTAGGTGGCTATCTTTAGAGCTCACGTAGTGTATCGACCATATTGATAGAGATTTTAATGTCATCGAAAATTTTTTTGTGAGTCAATAGCTACTTTTTTTATTGTTTTGGCTTAAGATATTAAGCAGTTTTTATGGTCGAGATTAGGGACAACTGAGCCTTTATTGGAGAAAAGAGCTAACAGTTAAAACTTTTATAAAATACTAGCGACCCGCCCTCGCTTCGCTTCGGAAACATTAAAACACACATGAAACCAAAAAAATACAATAAAAAAAAATTAAAAAAAAGTAGCCTATGTTCATCAGGGACAATGTCGGCTTCTAATGGAAAAATAATTTTTCAAATCGGTCCAGAAGTTTCGGAGCCTATTCGAAACAAACAAACAAACAAATCTTTCCTCTTTATAATATTAGTATAGAAGTATAGATTAGTTATAATATTAGTATAGATTAGCTTTTGTTCACAACTTTGTCCGCGTGAAATAGTTACTTCGGCATAACGCAAAATTTTACCCGTGACTTCATTTACGTAGGAAGTGAAAATATTTTTGAATAATAGAATCTTAAGGAGCTATTTAAGGTATCAAAATCACGCTTTTTAACCGACTTCAAAACAGGAGGCTATTAATTCGACCAACATTTTTTTTACATAAAAAACCCGATTTTGAAACACTCTTTATTGGTGCTCCGCTTGTATTGTTCTTAGCGTGATGGTATATGAGTCGTCTATTATCAAAGGTGGCAATCTGTGCATTTGGACAAAAAAAAATTATTGATATGTCAATACAGATTGATTTGAATATAATCGTCTCCTTCAAAGAATACGGTTCAAAACCTGCATTAAATAAAGGTTAATACTTAGCCTGTTATTTATCTAAGATGTCGTTCCGAAAAGTTTTGTGACTGCCAATGGAATACAAAGTCAATAATTCGTTTTTTTGATTTACCAATCATTGTCCAAAAGTCAGATTGCCGGCTTTGATAATAGTCGACTCATATATTTTATAGGCTTCTCCAATAAATAAGCTATCTACCACTGAAAGAATTTTTCAAATCTGACCAGTAATTCCTGAGATTAGCGCGTTCAACTAAACAAACAAACAAACTCGTCAGCTTTATAAAATTGTAAGATTATTTTCTTTAGAACAGAAAAAAAACTTCACAATCCTTATGAGGGCATGAATAAACAAAAACATAATGTTCATAATTAATTATTGCCGAGATAAAGTCGAACGAGCCGATAATACGGCACTCATCTTTGCCCATTTAGCTTAATGCTTAAGTTATCACTCCGTAAGCGCCGACATGCCATCATGGAATCCATGTAATTAAATAGAGGTAAAGTGTACATTGTGCCAGTAGTTATTAATTTCTTGAATAAACGCTCGTAGCCGGACTATCTGAGGATGGCAACCATTACGGATACTTCGACTTTGGCTATTTCGAAAAAAAAAAAAAAAAATTGCTGTTGTTATTGTCATTGTCTTAATTTTTTGAGACTACGCGACGTCGCTTGCCTTTGTGCTTTCTTTGCGCGATAAATGAAGGTTAAAAACTATTAAAAAAGACTATTAAAAATTGGCACGCGCGTCCTTATGCGTGTCACACATTTACCGATAGTTTTATATATCGGAGTATGTCGGATTTCAGTTGTCTTTAATAATGAATTTGAATATAATAGATGTTTTATACAAATACATTAAGCATATTAAGAGTTGAGCGAAGAAACTTCAAGTGTTATGTTGGCCTTTCATAGATCCATATCGAAGCGTGCTTGTGTAGAAGTATAGCGTTAAGAAAATATGGAATAGAAATAGGCATAAACATTTATTTGTTATTTTTTTTATTGCTTAGATGGGTGGACGAACTCACAGCCCACCTGGTGTTAAGTGGTACTGGAGCCCATAGACATCTAGGACGTAAATGGACCACCCATCTTGAGATATAAGTTCTAAGGTCTCAAGTATAGTTACAACGGCTGCCTCACCCTTCGAACCGAAATGCATTACTGCTTCACGGCAGAAATAGGCGGGGTGGTGGTACCCACCCGTGCGGACTCACAGGAAAGAAGTCCTACCACCCGTAAAAAATATATTTGTAGCATTAAAGAATATGCTTCACGCTGTAATACTTTTCGTTTATACTAATACTAATAAAATATTGATATCTATAAACTACTGTTTTTGTCTAGAATACAAAAATATTGGTATGTACAACTTGATTAGGACTTACGCAATTTTTTCTCAATTACATAGTTTTCTTCATCAATTGGAATCCTTTCCGTTTTCAAATGAAACAAAATGGAAGCAAGGAATTTAAAATTCACACCTAAGCCTTCGGATTCAAAGAAAATTGCGTCTAATTTCCGGAGCTTTTAGGGTCAAAATATTTTAATCGGGAGTTAGTTAATGCATCAAAAAAGCTGGAGGAATGAGGTTTGCATTTAAAGAGTATTTATTCTATTTACGAGAGTACCATCTTTAGTAGCACGTACCTATAAAGTCCTGATCATTAATATTGGTCTGTGTATTTTATCGATTAATTTTATCTAAAAGTTATTTGCTTGATTTATCGACCTACGCTCAAATTTTTGTTTGCCAGTAATATCAGACGAACTTACGGCCCACCGGGTCGGTAAATGATTATCGTTGCTCGCGGACATCAACAATGGTAAATGTGTATCCAAGTTGCTACCTACGAACATTTTGGTCGATTAACAATTCAATTATCACGTTATTTTAATAAGTAAAATCTGTCTATATATATAAAAATGAATTGCTGTTCGTTAGTCTCCCTAAAACACGAGAACGGCTCGATTTGGCTAATTTTGGTCTTGAACTATTTGTGAAAGTCCAGAGAAGGTTTAACAGGTAGTAGATAAATATGAAAATGCTCGGAATTAAATAAAAAGAACAATTTTATTTTTCTTAGATTTGTCCCCCGTCGGACGGATTCCTTTTGTTTGTTTAAAGCTTAGGTCTTTTATTTATCGATTGAGGCACTACGAGGTCTGCCGGGACAGCTAGTATTAAATAAATTTATAACCGCATGGCCAATCCGCGGAGAGTCGACTGCAGATCGGCATCTTGTTTCCTTAGTTGTATCGACGCAAGTTACTCGTACAATTAAAATACTTCAAAGAATGTAGTCACACAATGTTGCCACGTCCCTGACATTGCTCCGATCGATGAACGGCAAAAATACGTATTTCAATGAAAATATGGAGAAACCATTTCCTAGCCACCCGACTCAGAGATCGTTAGAAACATTTTTTTGCAATTAAAAGGGGACTAGTCTTATCTGATATATGTCAATTTGTGATATACGACTTGGAAATCGTAACGTTGCTTTTTTTTTTTGTCGTGTTTTGTTTGCATTTCGCATTTTCGTAATACATTCTCGAAGTTCGCTTGCAATGTCGGATCTGGATTACAAAACTCTACGTACATAACAGATCAGTAATAAGTAAGTTTCAACTAAAATGACTTTTCAATATTTTGTTCATTCCGTATTATCTACATATAAAAAATAAGTATAGGTTTGTGAAATATGACGTGGTAAATAAAATAAACTTTCTGTGTGTTTTAATGACACCTCCGAAAGAAGCGTGTTACGTTTATAATATTTTTTTTCCTTAGAACCGAAACGCATTACTGCTTCACGGCGGAAATAGGCGGGGTGGTGGTACCTACCCGTGCGGACTCCCAAGAGGTCCTACCACCAGTGATTACGCAAATTATAATTTTGCGGGTTTGGTTTTTATTACACGATGTTATTCCTTCACCGTGGAAGTCAATCGTGAACATTTGTTGAGTACGTATTTCATTAAAAAAATTGGTACCCGCCTGCGGGATTCGAACACCGGTGCATCGCTTCATACGAATGCACCGGACGTCTTATCCTTTGGGCCACGACGACTAGATAAGATTCATATGTCTTTGTTTTAAGATTCGTATTTGTTTGTCCAACCCTGTACTGTAAACATTAAATTCCTGTGTGCTTAGTGCGAGTGTTTTAACGTTCTCGATAGCGTAAAAGTTAACTCAAATTTGTATGGAGTTGGAACGATTACCTACGTTTGCCGCTAGAGGCGCTGTTCCAACTGTGTACAAATTTGAGTTAACTTTTACGCTATCGAGAACGCTAAAAAAATTACACTAAGCGTATATGTTTCAATGTATGGGGCTTCGTTCGAATCGTTACGTCAATCTAAGTGACACTGACAGTGGCATTTTTTTCTTTTTTCTAGGCAACAGTGTTTTTTTTTTCTAAAGGTGCATAGAGGAGGCAAATGTTTACTTATTTTATAGAGGTCCTTTTCCTACCCTATAACGCACGCAACCATTCTTGTTAGCTCACAATATATACCACTAATCGAATTGTTAAGCGTGCAATAAAGCCATATATCTTCTACGATCATTTCTATACAATCGTTTAACCAATAAACTTACATTGTCGTAAGCGGTGCTTTCAAAAGCTCTACTTTTTATCGCAGCAGTTACACAGAGCTTTTATCTATCCTTACACACTAACAAGGTCCTATATCATAGATTTATCGTACGTGTTCTCTCGTGACGCCGGCTGACAGCGGATTTATGTTCCACAAACTTACAAGTGGTGTGACAATGATTTTATATTCATATGTAGATATTCCAAAATAGCATTTTTCGAAAATAGAAGCTGGAGTTAATACGTATTTTAAATCGCAAACGGTAATTTAATCTGTTATTAATATTTAAAATGTATAGAATAAGATTTCTGTTGTGGAGAATTTTTAGTGGGCTTATTTGTGTTATCTTTGAATTTAGATTTCTTTGGTGCAAATACGTTAAACTGAATTACACACTAAACACGTGTTCACGAACGACTTTCATGACCAAAGTAGTAATGTTGAATGCTTAAAATTCTACTAACAAATTTTATGAATTGACCTAATTAGTAGTTGGAGGGAGCATTACAATACCTGTAATGGGTAAGACAACAAAATATTTTTGGGTAGTTGTTACATAACACAATAGAGATTTAAACCTTAAATTCAAAGGTGCTTAAATTCAGTCCCGGTACAAAAAATTTTGCTCGGATACCCGTGACTTTCAAAGGTAATAGTTACGTATATTTGCGACGAATCGAAATTTGATACTTAAGATTATATGATTACTGCTGTGCTGACCTCTGAACATTTATATTCATAATCTCAGCTATATTAATGTGCCAATAAAATACCTGTATTAATAATAGTACAATCTATAAATATAATATTAAGAAGATCCGAACAGGTTGGGAAACATTAAAAATATTATATAATTAAATGAAAATTATATAGAATGTTATCCATGAACATTTGTAACTTTAGGTCACCCTACTCACTTTTAACGGTATCAAAGTACTGTGTTTTTATTGAGATATTTCGAACGTGTCAGCTTTGATTTAGAGCCTACTATTAGATATGATCTATTAGAAACTATCTAGTTAAGCATTTAAAAATAGACCTTATAATAATAGAATTAAAGTATACAAATACACAGGTCTGAGTTTTAATTTGATTCTTATACTACATGCCGTAAAGTCTATGAAAGTTGGAATAAATTTAACAATGTAAGTTTTTGAGACCTGTTGATTTTTGCTTATTAGGTCGTTTAAGAATATCTTTTTTTACTAGCGACCCGCCCTCGCTTCGCTTCGGAAACTGTAATTTATTATTGATTTCTCCACTATTTAATGGATGTTATTATACATATAAACATTCCTCTTTAATCACTCTATCTATTAAAAAAAACCGCATAGAAATCCGTTGCGTACTTTTAAAGATTTAAGCATACATAGGGACGGACAGATATAGGGACAGAGAAAGCGACTTTGTTTTATACTATGTAGTGATTACTTTTTTGGTTGCTTGTGTTGTTAGTGGAGTCCATAGAGATGACGTTGTATATGCCCTCACCGATCTTGAGACATGCGTTCTAAATCTCACTTTTATAGGCACCAACCTTCAAAAGCGAAACGCACTACAGCTTAGCGGCAGAAATAGGCGGGGCGGTGGTACTTACCCTTACAAGCTCACAAGACGCCCTACCACCACATATTTTTGTACCAATGCGATTTCTACAGTAATTCTTTACTGGTGGTAGGACCTCTTGTGAGTCCGCGTGGGTAAGTACCAACACCCTGCCTATTTCTGCCGTGAACCAGTAATGCGTTTCGGTTTGAAGGGTGGGGCAGCCGTTGTAACTATACTTGAGACCTTAGAAATTATATCTCAAGGTGTGTGGCGCATTTACGTTGTAGATGTCTATGGGCTCCAGTAGCCACTTATCATCAGGTGGGCTGTGAGCTCGTCCACCTATCTAAGCAATAAAAAAAGCCATGGAGGTCTGAGGTAATAGTTAATTTTGGTAGTTTCATTTAAGATCCTGATTGACTTCACGATTCAAACTATAACCGAGTGTATATCCTTGACGTACATCAGACCTGGGTCAACAGCCTTTTGTGGCCGCGGGTCCAAATCAACTAAATTTTTTAATATTGATAAGGCGTTTGAGTCTGAGATACTAAACCATAAAAGATATGTTTTTATAAAGTAAGCATTTAGAAATGTAATTGAATGAATAGGTTTATTTTGAAACCGTTCCTTTCGCCATAAGCGAGATTTCAACTTGTGTCATCCATTTATTCTTATATAAATTTTAATTTTGTACTAAAGTCAGTCACTTGTATATTATCAAATGACCCGCGATACGTACATAGGTTACTAGTGGTAGGACGTCTGGTGAGTCCACACGGGTAGATACCACCACTCTGCCTGTTTCTGCCGTGAAGCATTAATGCGTTTCGGTTTGAAGGTTAGGTCAGTGTTCGAAGCATAGCAACCCTATTTTCTTCACCGCAGCGGAAGCGGGGGTGTGGCGTGGACTTTCAAAATAAAACGACGTGCAGCTATGAAAAATGCATAACCATTGTCGATCCCGTAAAATTGTACAAAGTTTAATTCGATCCAGTTTTGTTCGGATAAGCCTTTTTTTTTTTTATTGCTTAGATGGGTAGACGAGCTCACAGCCCACCTGATGTTAAGTGGTTACTGGAGCCCATAGACATCCACAACGTAAATGCGCCACCCACCTTGAGATACAAGTTCTAAGGTCTCAAGTATAGTAATGACGGCTGCCCCACCCTTCAAACCGAAACGCATTACTGCTTCACGGCAGAAATAGGCAGGGTGGTGGTACCCACCCGCGCGGACTCACAAGAGGTCCTACCACCAGTAATCCTTGCACCCAACATCTCATCGCAACGTCGCCAACAGCCAGTCGTTGAAACTGAGACCTTAGAACTCATGTCTCAAAGTGGGTGACGGTTTTTGATGTCTATGGTCTTCGGTATCTACTTAACACCAGCTGAACTGTGATCTTCTTCATCCATAATATCTATATATATATAAAAAGGAATTTCTGTTCGTTAGTCTCGCTAAATAAAACTCGAGAACGGCTGGACCGATTTGGCTAATTTTGGTCTTGAATTCTTTGTGGAAGTCTAGAGAAGGTTTAAAAGGTAGATAAATATGAAAATGCTCGGAATTAAATAAAAATAAAAATTTTGGTTTTCCTTTGATGTCCCTCCCCCGTCGGACGGATTCCTTTTGTTTGCTTAAAGTTTATTTTATACAAAAGTTTAGGTCTTTTATTTATCGATTGAGGCACTACGAAGTCTGCCGGGTCAGCTAGTAAGCAATAAAAAAGGTCATCGTTGCTCTTGATTACTCTAGGAGGATTGTACCTGGGATCCCAGTTAGCAGCAAGCTTCCGCCTCGATCGGATCTTAAGACGCAGCCGGACTTGTCTCGGTGCTTCACCGCGGGCGCTCACCACACACGAACCGCCTTTGGCCGTCGACAACTGCGGTCCAATAACTTATATGAGAACAAATAATTAAATACAATAATACACAAAGCTACATGACAATCGTCGTGGCCTAAAGGATAAGACGTCCGGTGCAAAACATCACATAGCATATCTCTATCAATTAAATTACCTGGAGTATGTATCTGTCATACTGTGAGATTTCAAGCGAAACCGTAGTGACTTCGGAGCCTTTGTTTTGTCTCAGAGGACTTAAGTGACCTGGAAATAAGAGTTGTTTTCAAATACAAATCAAAGAAAACGTAACTGAAAAAAGTACATAAATCATAAACACTTACCAGGAGGATTGGCGTTGGCTCGATATAAAATCCAGTTCAAGTCACTAGTACACGGACTGACCGTTATATAAACTGTAGTTTGTGATATTGTTGAGGTGTTCAGCTCTAAGCTGCAACAAAAACGAATATCCAAGATTGAAATCTAATTGGCGTCAATATTTGTGCGTTAGTCAACTATGGAATTATTGGAAACTGATAATTGAAAATAACATTAACAAGATACAAAGAAATTTTATGAATATTTCAGTAATGCGCTCGGTGGCTACCATGTCTCTGCTCCCGATCCACTAACGGTGCTTTTAGGTACCTCAACCACCTGTCACCGTTCTCGTGTAACCTGTCGCTTGAGACGAAGGGCTCAGCGAGTATACTAACCCATAGACATAACCCACTGAGTTTCTCGCCGGATCTTCTCAGTGGGTCGCGTTTCCGATCCGGTGGTAAATTCTGCGAAGAGCTGCTCTTCTATTATCGTTCTATTGAGGTTATAGTTTGGTATTTCACAAATAAAAAGCTACCTTCGTGTTTCGCCTTCGTCAAGTCTGTAAACCGTTTGGTTGTCAGTGGGCAGCCACTCGACTACCCTGGTCAGAGGTCTGGTGACGAGGACTGTAGGTGAAGCATATCCGGCCCCAGCTGCATGCAGTACCAGTAAAGCTGCAAGGCGCGTTGTGAATATCCCGTATTTTCTGTAAAATATTAAGAGGAAACGACTTTAAAGCAAACATTTTCGACCTTACGACCTATACAAAAAAAATCGTCAGTAATATGTCATCAAATTTTCGCTCATTTGCAAACACATTGGTTGACTTCAAAATATCCGATACCTACTAGCCAAAATTGTTAAAATGTCAAAATAATATTTATAAATATAAATCTCGAACTTAAACGTAGGTGTTTTCAATACGATTTAAAAAATAGCAGTACCAGAAATTTGCTAAAATTTGCTGCCTAAAAGGATTTCCGTGCTGGAGTCATGGTCCAGACGGCTGGCTGACCCTTCGGCTGGTCGTAGGACCGTTGAGGCGATTCGCCCGGTCCTTGTGGATTGGGTGAATCGCGACAGAGGACGCCTCACTTTCCAGCTCATGCAGGTGCTCACTGGGCATGGTTGTTTCGGTGAGTTCCTGCACCGGATCACTGCCGAGCCGACGGTAGAGTGCCGCCATTGTGGTTGCAACTTGGACACGGCAGAGCATACGCTCGTCGCCTGCCCCGCATGGGAGGGGTGGCGCCGTGTCCTTGTCGCAAAAATAGAAACCGACTTGTCGTTGCCGAGTGTTGTGGCATCGATGCTCGGCGACGACGAGTCGTGGAAGCCGATGTTCGACTTCTGCGAGTGCACCATCTCGCAGAAGGAGGCGTGTGAGAGACGCACAAGCGAGGGCCAGGGAGGTGCGTTTTACGCAAGAGCATCCGGGTGGTGGAAGGTCGGCTATCCTCGACCCACGCTGGTTCTTACCCAGCGAGGTATTCCGTAGGGTAACCCACTCTAACCGGCGCCATCTAGGCGGGCTTTCGGACAGCCTGCCGACCGAGAGGGCTGGTGGTCGTGGCGCCGACGACCGCCGGTCCGGCGTCCCGAAGGGGAGGGTAATGGGAAAGATGTGCTCCACACTAAATGCTTCACTTTCCCCCCTTTGCCTTTTCATGAGTTCTGTCTCATGCGAGGTTTGGACGTTGGTTGTTAAGCGACAGGAGGTTTTAGTCAATTCGACTCTGACATACCCCACCCGCCATCCCCAGTGAAGGGCGGAAGTCCGGCGATTTCCTCCTGACCAAAAAAAAAGGCCAAAAAGGATTTACTAGATTTACAATAGTATACAGGCAATTTTATTTGTGATAATGCTGATGACATTTCAAATGATTTAAGAGATGAAAATTTCTGAAATCTGTGTCTTGAAACATATTTAAGTAATCGGCAATGTAAATAGCTCATCGTGAACTGTCGAATAACACATGTGCCAATTTTTCGTTGGAATTTTGTAAAATACTACATCTATAGTGTGCTTCTAATAATTTTGAGCTCCATTAAAAAATATTGTAAACAATAAGTATGGTTTTATCTATATATTAATACGTGAAGCAAAAACGTTGTATCCCTTTTTACGAAATTTGCGCGGACGGAGGAGTATGAAATTTTCCACACTTATAGAGAATATAGAGAAGAAGTGCACAATGCTAATATTTTTTTAAAACAATGCATAAAAGATACATTAAATCAATAAAGAAAACATTACACACACTACATACCATGCATTTGACGCACACACGCATGCATACTATTTATTGTCAAACTTCTGTTATTGATGTCTGTTGCCAAATTGAGATTAAATATTGTTTGTCTTCGATAATATTTTTTATAGTGTATTCTTGGCGAAATTTGTGATTATAGAAGTATAAAATACAATCAGTACAAACAATCAATAGTGTACAAACTTACAATTCCAATTAATTTAAGTATAGTCGAATTTCGACTACTGCGGGACCTCCAGTTTTATTTAATAGACAGGTGTCTAAGTCTCAAGTCGATAGTATAACAGTTATCCCCTCCCTTCAAATTGGAACACATGACGGCTTAGCGGCAGAAATGCCGGTTCACATTTTATATTAATAATATTAATTGGTTATTATTTTTTAAGACTAACCCTTAATCTTTTTTTTCTTATTACAACATTAAATCGTTACAAACATATGTCAAAGAAACCAGACCCTTTTCGAATAAGTAAATAAAAAAAAAAAACTCGAACCCATTACCGTCACATAATATTCACGCGTCAAACTACATGAAACAATGAGCTTTTGTGGTAAGAGAACGAATTTATGGTCATTTCGCCACGAGAGCCCAACAAAAACAAAAGCACATTAACATGAGTTATTTATAAAGTGCTTTTAAAAAAAACTATTGAGACGTGTTTCTTATAAGGGATTTCGCACGCACGGACGCAAAGCTTAAGCGATTATTTGTGTGACTGTTAGTCATTTCTTAATTAATGTTCATAAACTCTTCAGTCAGAGGTGTAAGCCCGCACGGGTAGATACCACAGTCCTGTCTATTTCCATCCTGAGACGGCCTCTTTATAACTGCGATATTAGCCTCTTATCTCAATAGGCGTATAACCACCTTACCTTTTATTACTAGGTATGTTAGATGTCCCTGTGGTATAATTTTTTTATTTTTTTTTATTGTCCTTGTAGACAGACGAGCATACGGCCCACCTGATGGTGAGTGGTTACCGTCGCCCATGGACTTCAGCAATGCCAGGGGCAGAGCCAAGCCGCTGCCTACCTCTAACATATACCGTTACTTATTCTATTATATTTTTAATAGAAATAGCAATTTCCTTTTCACGATATCATCGTTGCCAATGTCGAGTTTATAAAAATCTTCAATTATTGAATCCACATCTATTCCGCTATATGAGAAATGATATGCGTCAAAATGAGATGAAGTTGATTTATTTTACACTGGAATCAATTGGCATGAAATTAAACGCAACGAGATGAGATGGGGTGAGATAAAAGCTCACTAAAATGGTGGTTAGAGATTTTAGTACCCGGGAAATGTACACAGTTAATGTCAAAGGGCGCTTTAAATGGCATGATTATGTATCGATAAAGTATCTAGATACAGCAATAAAAATCCGACTAGGCAATCAATTTTGATATGTTTTTATAGTATAGTATAGTATCTACGTATCTCAATGTATGTATTCAAATCTTGACAAGTGTTAGTTAGTCAACTATAATTCAAATTCCGAATCTAGGTGCATTTGTCTTGTGGAAGATGTCAAACAAGTTCACGAAACACCCGGTGATTAAGTGGTTACCGGAATCCATAAATCCCCATAATCCCGCCACCCCCCTTGAGACGGAAATCTCATTTGTATTTCATAGGAGCTGTTCTACCCATCGCTTTACCAGTCGAGAAATAGGCGGTACCAATCCGTGCAGACTAACAATACCTCCCACCACAACGAAATTCCGGTTGGCGTTGCGGTTACTCCTCAGATAAGGTTGAAGAAGAATGGGCTTTCGGTAAATGCCTTAGTAGGTTTTTACGAGAAGATATCGGGTGCTATTTTAAGGCACCACAATTGTTATTTTACGATGATCGCACTGGGTTATCGTTTAATTTTAGCTCCTTTTAATCCTTGGTAGAGGGTAATTAGATGCATTATTTACAGTACGCGATAAGGAGGTTGTAAACTTTAGTATTAATGGTCCGACATAATGTAACCTGTAATCATAATGCAGTTATTCATTTGCTTTTAAAAATATTTTGTGGAATATTATTTCCTTTTCCAAGGGTCATAGTTTCGGTGGATGGTCTTTTATTTTGGTAACAACGAATTTAATTGAGAAATTAACTGCCAACTGCTATTCGTTATTTAGTTCCATTGGCATTTTGGTTATGCGCTGACGGCCCATAACCATAACAAATAATTGTTCTTTAGGCTTCGTAAAATGCGACTAAGGCATTAACCAGAGAATGGGCAAGTGCTTTCTCTGAGTATTATACCAGCGTACTGCGATCGCCCATAATGGTTTACTGATGTAAGGCGGTATAAGTATGGTGTAAGGCGGTGCAAGTAGGGCTTATTGTTTGGGCCAACGTGCGTAGGTACCACCACCCTGCCTATTTCTGGTGCGAAGCAGTTATGCATTCTACGACTTTAAATATGTGATACTGTCGTTACACCATTTATTTAAGATTTTGATCTGATGTTATAACGAGAGGATCCATTCCCTGCTATTATGTCTTTGAACTTCGATAAGCAATTTCCACAGAATGGCCCATGAGCGCGTAAATCCAGACGTAAACAATATATAGAAGTAGCTTGGTCATGATTCTCATGAGGCATTGATGTTCATTTTGCCCGAATCAGCGCTGATTGCATGAAGGATCGGAAGCTTGAGTTAAAAAGAGGTTGAGTTGTTAAACTCCCGTATGTATACCCACAACAACACTTCGTTTTGGCTTGAATGATGAGGATATATTTCAGATGTGTCTATCATTTAAATTTTACCACTTGCCACGGGAGGAGAGTGCCTAGATAACTGCATTGAACCATAGCTCATTTGCCATACTCCAGCCCGCTATAGTATTGACTCCTACACGGTATTTCCTGAGCGCTATATCACGTAGTTCTTCAAATAATGCTTAAAACGACTCCTAAGCAGTAGGCAATTAGCTCGGGTGTAGCCCTGGTAGGCCTTCACTAGGTAGGCCGTATAGTCGTTATACATATATAAATAAGTAAGACACTAAAAAAAGTTAAATTACCGATCAAAATCAAATTACAATTGCCAATTGGTAATGGAACTGCTAGCTACAGACGGATTACCGATTGAATTACAGCCACTAAAATGTAATCCGGGATTTTAAGTTTGACGGTTTTACGATAATCGTCAGTGTATTCGATCGCAAAAAGCGAAAGTTTACGACCCGTAGTGGATGGTTAATCCGTGTAAATAATGCGACCTTTTTTAGGACGTTTGCAGGCAGACATATGTCCTTTTTTAACCGACAAGTGGTAATGTTAAATCAATACATGCTTTTGATATCCACATCGGGGGACAGATTAGGCATTTGGCTATCAATGGTTCTAGCGTGAAAATTCCACAAAGTGGATTCCAGATTGATTTCTGTTGGAATATTGATAACCATGTAATGTCAAGTTTCTAT